GTGGAAGAGGAAACGCCAGAAATATGACAAGATCAGCTCAGGGCCTGGCATTTCCAAGGGACAGGAACTGCAGGAGCTGGCAGGGGCACCCTTTGCAGCAAAAGGCCTCTCTGTCTCTCTACAGCCCAGCAAGGTGGTGGCCAACAGCACCACCGTGATTCTCCTGAGGTCTCAAGGAACTGTGTTTCCTGGGAGTGTCTGGGACAGGAGCCCATTTTCTCTAAATAACTTAGAGACCTTAGAATCTGGTCTTAATTACTCCTCCCGCCCCCGCCAGCAACGTGGCTACACAATACATCATGTTGATTCCCTTACTGCCCGGCGATGGAGATGCCCAAACTTATGCCACCAGAAGGCCTGGCCAGGCCCTCAGTTCTATTTTTTCCTTAAGGATTCAGACAGATTTGTCTCTATGGAATATCATACAGCCCCCTAACTTCCCTCTTGGCCAATGGCCTGATTTGGGATCAGGGCTGATTTAGGTTAGGAATAATACTGTGGCTTCAGAACCAAGATTTTAGTTATTTTTATAAAACCCCAAGTGTTTGGCTTCACACCCGCCATCCCAGGAAATGGACCATAAGCTGACTTTAAATGTGAGGCCCGCCCCTCATCTGCCGTCTCTTTCTGGGAGAGTGGGAGAGGAAGTGAGCCGAGGGGAGCCCTGTGGTGGACTTGCACCTTGGGAAGTTTAATTTACTCCTCAGGTAGGCTGAGAAGAGCTCTGTGTCCTGAATGATCGAATGAACGAATAATCATGCCTGCTGCCTGAAGAAAGCTGGGAAGTGGATCCTCAGTGCCACCACCTCACAGAGGACCTGCCAGAGAGAAGTGCTCCAGTGACAGAATAATACTTGGAAACCCAAAGTCATTCAACAGCTGACTGCTCCCACTCACACCTCACTGTACTGCAGGAAGCGGTCCCTGACCTGCCCTTCCCCATTGGAGTAGGAATCTCTCCCAGTGCCCCCGCATGCATCCTCCTTACCAGCCCCAAGGAGGTTCACACCCTAACCCCCAGTGCCTGCCAAACTGTTCAGGTAGCGACAAAGGCAAGTTAGGATGGAATTGAGGTTGCTAATCAGTTGATCTAAAAGAGGCAGACTAGCCATGGTTGTGCACAAGGCCCCATACAATCACTTCAAGCTAGTAGAGGAAGCCAGAGGACCCCAAGGTGACATATGAGAGGGACAAAGGCTGGCCCTGCTGGCTCTGAGTACTACAAGCTGAGACAAGCTGTTGTTCCTCTAAAGCTGGAACAGACAAGGAAACAGATTCTCCCTGGAGCTCCCAGAAGGAATGCTACCTGTCAACACTTGATTTTAGACCAGTGATGCCTATTTCAGATCTCCAGAACTGAAAAACAACTATAAAAAGTGTAAATTTATGGTAAGCCACTAAGTTTATAGTAATTTGTAACTGCAGCTATATAGGACACAAATACACAATCATATTTCTCTTAAAAGAATGTCATTTATTGCCATGCATATCACCCCAATCAATAAAAATACCAGCTAACATCTGATAAGTTTACAATTTCTTTGAGTACCATGTGGTAGTACAAAATACTAAAAGAAAAGGGAATTCCTACTAATACCAAGAGAGGATCAGAGAGAGGGGCCGGAAGTGAGAAGCACCTGCCAGGACATAAAAGCACAGACCTATTTTAAAAGACGAGGGAGCATCTGCCAGCAAGCGAGGAAGAATATGTCAGGCAAGGGAAACAAGCAGACACTCGGAAAAGCCACACAGTGGAACTTGTGCTAGCAAGTGCTCTCAGGCTCAGCTTCCACAGAGGACAGAGTCTCCAGTACTTTATTTCCTTTGAGGTTCAGAGGCTCATGCGCTTGTACCTGCCTGAAATCTGCAGGCAGAGGCCACCCGGGCACTGCAGCCTCCACATGGCCAGTGCACAGCCTGCCTTTCCCATGAACGTGCTCCTCCTCTTGGCCTCTCTTGTCTCTTGAGATGAAACCACACTGGCCTCTTAGGAGAGTGCTCCCTGCTTCTGCTGAGCTCTCTATGACCCACTCTCCATAAAGCAATGTCTTACAACTGTCAGTCAACAGGCGGGGAATGTGGCTCAGTGGTGGGGCACTTGCCTAGGATACATGAAACTTAGTTTGATTGCCAGCAACTCCGCCTCCCAAATCCAGATCCGATCCCACAACTGAGCTTAAACTCACCAAGGCAGCCTTTGCACTGGGCGGTAGTGGTAGGGAAATCTCCTATCTGTGAGCTGGTCTCTAGTGCCCTCTCCAGCCTCACCCTCTGCCACTCTCTTCATGGCTCTTTACTCTCTGGCCTCCTGACCCTGGAACACATGGAGCTCTCCTATGTATAGAGAATTTTGTATACTCCCATCCTTTGCCAAGAATGCTGTTCCTTCCCCCTAGATCTGTACCTGATTTCTTCTCCACTTTCCAATCTTGGATCAAGCTTTCCCTGGAAAACCTAGAGCCAACATTGTATCCTGATGCTCTGCTCTGGACTCTGGCTGGTTTCCTTGATAACAGGTATCACCACAGCCTTCCATCTGTCAGAATTTATCCGTGTCTTCCTAGCTGTCTATCCCCTCCTCCAGTGGAACACAAAGTCCAGGGGGTTGGGGTCAAGCTGCCCTGTTCATCACTACATGTCAAGACTTCACCCATGGCATAGCATGGAGCAGATGCTCAATATACTGCTGCTGAGTTGATCAATTAAATACAGAAGCGTGTGGCTGACATTGAAAGATGAGCCTGGAAATAGAAGGCCTATTCATCTTTGTATGACTGGCACCTCTCACGGTGGAGCCACTCAGCAAATGTTTACTGGGTGTGTGAAAGAATGAATTAACTCCAAATCAATGTGATGGGTGCTGCCCTTTCTGGGCCATGCTCCCAAAGGGGTTCCCTCTCTTCCCTGGGGCTTCTTAGGAAGTAACAAGTCTAGGGCATACAGCGAGTGTTACCATGACTCTTGGTGTTACATATATGGGGATCATTTGTACAGTCCCCTAGAAAAGGTCCCTGAGCCCAGGTGTGAAAAGCAGTAGAGAAAAAAGTGACATGAAATAGGAAGGGGAAAATAGAAGGGGGCAGTAGGATCCAGTCAAATACAACTGAGGACTCTGGGGAAAGCACAGGAACAGCACTGCTCCAGGTGACTCGGGCTCCCTTCTCTCCTCTAGGAGAAGCCAGCAGGGAGTTAGTCTTCTCAAGGGAGGGCTCCATTCACGCACTGTAAAGCTCACAGCTAATTTTAAAAATCTGGCTCACTGTGGCTGGGGAGGGTTGGGGGGTGTAGAGACTTTCAATTTCCTTCACCAAATGGCAAGTTTGCGAAAAAGACATTTCTCTCCAACATTATCACATACTAAAAATGAAAAACCAGTCACTCAGAATGCTCATGAAGAGAAGCGGGGAGGCCTCTGCTTAGCTCACCAGAAAAGCTCACTGATAATCAATTCTACCTAACATCGCACAGCACAGGATGTACTAAGATACTGCCCTTTTTGGGCTTGGAAGTTTCTATTTTTCACACAAGAATGGGATAGAAAAAAGTAACTCCTCCACATAATATGGAACCCCTTTAATATTTAAAACCCACTTGACAGCAGAACCCCAAACCTATTTGGTGTCTGACTAGCAGGGGCTGGGTAATCTTTTTAACTCCTTCTCTCCAAGTATGTAGTTTGAGATAACAGCATACCTTAGACATAGCAGCAATAACAGATCAAACAAAACAAGAGGAGGCATGAATGCCGTGAAGGTTAGAATGCAGGAAGACACATTTCCGAATCATCTGGTGCATGCCTGGCAGACCAGAGTCTGACACAGTCAAAGGAGTAATGGTCCCAGAGCTTGAAGATTTGGAAACTAGTCCTGGCGCTTCCCCCAGCTGGCCATGTTTTGGCCAAGTCTGGTGCTCTGGACCTCACCGATGGGACAAGAAGGGCTTGAAACAGCAGTTCCCCCGAGAGATCTTTTTTTCTTTCTAAACTGTTGCTTGGATGATTCTAAAAGCTGTGCATCTTGCTAGTGCGATCCTGTGGCTCCCCACTGCCAAACAAAGACTGTGGGGAGAAGGCTGCAAGTGAGATAAAAACCGGCCTAAAAACTGAATCAGATGTTTTACAGTCCCAAAACATTACTCAGCAATCTGCATCTGCTGTCATCAAGAGTAGAGAGAGAGCAAAGTGAAGGAAAGCCGTCAGGCCCTCCCCGATAGGGATGGGTAAAGTGAGGTGAAGTTAGGGATGGTCTGGAGTTGGCTCTCCACCCCCCTGCGCCAGTGGAAAGATAAATTATTAAGGGAAGCCGCGTTAGGAGTGCTCGGTGTCAACTCTCGGGAGGTATAAACCTCAGAAATCCGGACACCAGCAAGCTTCTTTTTTCTTTTAAACTTCGTATTTAAAAGAAATCGCAGCAGGTCCCAAAATGGCACAAGCAGGAAAAGAAAAACCAACCCATCTGACTGGTCGTCCCCGAAGCAGACGCCGAGCTCCTCCTGGGAATCCTCACCCCCTCCTGTGTCTCCTCTGCTTTAAACAAGTGGCCTCGGCCTGGCGGGGGGGCGCCCCGAGCGGGCTGGAGCCGGGCCGCGGCGGCGGGGAACTTTCCCGGCCACGCCGTGGAGACAATGCCGAGGCCCGCGCCCTCGCTCCGCGCCTGGTAGGCGCCCATCGCGCAGTCCCGGGCTTTGCGGGAGGGGACGCTGCGCCCCCGGGGCGCCCCCCCACGCACCTCGGCGCCTCTGCAGGGCGCGGGCCGCCGAGCGCGCTCTCCAGGCCCCCTGGGAGCTGGGGGCGCGGGGTCCCCTCGGCGGCCTCGCGGGCTCCGCAGCACGGGCCGCGCGCCCCGCACGCTCCCCGCCCCGGACAGGCGCCCGCCCGCGGAGACGCGGCCCCAGCAGAAGGGACCGGCCAGACCTCCGCGCGCCGGGGGCTGGAGTGGGGCGAGCGGGGGCCGACGACCGCGGACGACCCCGCCTGCCCGGCCCGGCGCCTCGCAACTCACCGGGACCGGCGGGCCGCTGGGCATTATTCCATCGCGGGCTCGGCCGGGCGGCGGGCGCTCGGGTCGGAACCGGACTGTGGCCGGGGCGGGCGGCGGCGGCGGCGGCGGGCGGCGGCGCGGGCCGGGTGCCCGAGCGCAGAGAGCCCGCCCGCGGCGGCGGCGAGGCCAGGCGAGGCGCGGGAGCTGAGCGCAGCGCAGGAAGGGGCGGGCGACCATGTGCCGAGGGGGAGGAGGCCGGCGACGCGGGCGGCTCGCACGCTCCCGCTCGGCTCGCGGGGCGCGGGTTTCAGGAAATCCAAACACTTCGGCAGGAAATCGGAATCCTGACTAAGCATTCCCGGCCCGGCGGCGGCGGCGGCGGCGGCTCTGCGCCTGGAGCTCGCGCCGCGTTAACTCTTGGCCCGCCGGCTCGCAGGCGGGGGCGCGGGGCCACGACACCCCCGGGCCGGCCAGGCGCCCCTGCACCCAGAGGTGGAAGGGGTGAGACTTAGTCACCTTAGCCTTAGCCTCGAGGGGGACCTTTCTGGAACCGGGATACCGGGAAAGCTCCGTGGCCTCTGTGTGGTGCACCAGAGGAGGACTTGTGGTCTCCTGGCATTTCCCCACTTCTCACTACCTTGCTCACTGCCGACCTCTCTGCTCCTTTCTCTTTTTTGCCCAATGCCAGGAGTTTTCAGGACAGGCTAGCATAGGAGTGGTATGGGTAGGATAGTAGGATTCAGGCTCTGACCCCGGTGGTGGCCTTTGCTTTTCTTCTACTGGTGAGTCAATCACTTAAGTTCCTTGTGCCTCAGTTGCTTCAGATCTGAAATGGGTATTAATACCACCCTCACAGGTTTGATTTGGAAACCGAATGTTTAAACAGAGACTGGCACATTGGAAATGCCCAAATCCATGATAGTCGTGCTTGTCCTTTTGTTATTGCCGTGAAGAGACGTTGAAGAAGGGAGTATGTTAACCTGCGGAGCGTGCAGTGTGCAGATCTGTGCTTCCTTACAAAGCCAGGGCCAGTGACCTTGCCTGAGAACCTCATTTTCCTCCTAATCACTGGAGGAAGAGTTTTTGCAGCACTCCAGAAACTGCTCTCCACAGTGGCAGGCCCCCTCCTGATGAAATGTGAAAGTCCTCCATGAGCCTGGCAGTGCAGGATTCTGTGCTTGACCAGAGGAAGATCTGAACATGGGATGGGGTTGGCCCGGTTGATACATCCTGAGATGATTTACAAGGCTTGGGAAACCAGAGTCAATCTTTGACTGGCCAGAGAGAGTGGGCGGCCGGTGGGAGGGATTCATTGTGGTTTCCCACAGAAATGCCACCTTTGGGGGACTTCTACCTGTGGGATGCAGCTTAGTGGTTTTGCTACAAAGTGCTTCAGATTCTTTTGAAACCCCGACTTTGACGAGGGAAGAACATGCGGATGAGTGGCCACTGAAGCGCATATGCTGAGACTGAAAGCTGGGTCTCGGCTCTTCTACGAGTCAAGCAGATGGTAACTGTCCCTTCTCTGCAACTCTCGCTCGCTGGTCAGAAGTGGTAGGACAGGCTTTTGTCTGGGCACCATGAGTCCTGCCCCAGGCTCTTTCCTGACTGCCAGCCTGGGAGCATCTCTCTGTTAGCTCTCTATTAGCACACAGCTCAGAGCCCTGAAGTCAGTACCTCCAAAGAGCTTTCCAGAGCATTTGATCCGCTTGCATCTGGCACCTGTACTCCACCTCCACCTCTCCCACACGTCACATGCCCGGTGTTATTGCTTCAACTGATTTGGTTGCTTATTTACCACTTACCATGGGTAGGCTGCGTTACAGCAGGATCTGCCTGTCTCTATTTCTATATCCCAGGTTCAAGAACAGCGCTGGCCATACAGACCCTCAAAAAGGCATGTTGTTGAATGAATAAAAGGAGCAAGCCAAACTAGATTGGGGTTTTGACTCCTACTTGAGGCAGGGCAATTCAACAGGAAAGCTTGGTGTAATGGAAGAAGTGCCAGATCACTCTATTAATGGGTCCTGGAAAGTTAAAACTATAAGTAATTAAGACTGGCAGATGAGATAACTGTAGTCTCATTGGTACAGTCCCAGTTAATTACTGCTTCCTTTGTAAGTCCCCAGAATTTCTGTTCCCTGAAGACTGTATTTGTCACATGCAGTATGTACTCACCAGGTGACTGTGTTCCTCAGTGAAACTCCTGGAGGTAGAAGGAAGGAAATGACCCATGTTTATTGACTGCTCAGACTGGACAGGATGCTGAAAACAAGGTGACGTATGTCTGGGTGCTGTCGTAGGGCTAAACAGAGGATGGGGGTGGCAGGTAGAAGGAAACTGGAAAATACAGTATTTCAGGAACTGGGTGGGTACACTTGAATGGCAATTGAAAGAAGAGATGGTGCCCATCTGGGTAAATGCCAGGCACAGGCTGCTAGGCAGAGCTACAAGCTCACGTGTGGCTGATGGTTGGCTCCATGTCCCACCTCTTTTTCCACCTGCCGCTGTACTTTGATGTCCTCTCTCCAGAAGATCTGTCCACCTGAACCATGTGCCTTCCTCCTCTTTGGCTGGGGCTTCCAGATCTATGGGGTTTTGTCCAACCTGCAAGAGCCCAGAATCCCTGGGGCCATCCCTAGTCAATCGGTGAAACTATGCCCCAGTTTTCCTTTCTCTCTGCATTAACACATTTCTTCACTCTTCTCTCTTCTCTATCATATTTTCTTGTTCCTCTGAGTCCTTAAGGTTCCTCTAGTTTAATTCCTTTGTTCTTCTTGGGATTGATTCCTAAGCAGAGCAGTTGCACCCAAGTTGCACCCAAAACCTTGACTCAAGGTTTTGCTTGCAGGGAATGCAGTTCGGAGGACCATTCTAGCATTTATTCACAATGACTGAGCCAAGAATGAGCATGAGCATCTGGTTTATTCAGGTAGCCATGCAGTTCAGCATGATCGGAAGAAGTGGCACACATTCAGAATGAAAAGAATGAGACTAAAAAGCATTTGCACCATTTTACAATGGGGAAACCAAGGTGCCACAGTGATGAGGAACTTCCCCGAGGTCAAACAGTGAGTTGAGGACCTTTCAAGTCAAGGTTCTTGTCAACCTGTTCTGCCTTTCCTGGGGGTTGGAACTCTGAGGTGGCTGGAAATGGAAAAACCCTGGGTCACAGGAAGAAAATACTTCTAAAAGGAGGTGATGGCCCACACTCACCAATGTCCCAGGAAAATGAGTCCACTAAGGATTGGAAAGCAAGCATCCATTGCATTTGACAGTTACAAGATAACCTTTGCCAGAGCTATGTTGATGGAGGGAAGGCATCGGAAGCCAGATTGCAGTGGGTTGAAGAGTGAGTGGGAAACTGCAAGTGTAGACAGCCCTTTTCAGAAATGTGACTGTCTAGCAAGTGGGAGGCAAGGGTGGAGGCTTTGCTAAAGATGGGCCAGCGTGCCAGCATCTGTCTGTGGGTGATGGGATGGTCCCAGGGGAGTGGGAGCTGCTGCAGAGGAAGGGTTGAGCTCCGGGATGGAGCAAGTTCTGAGGATAACGGGGAGGGACCTGGGCTGAGGGGAGCTGGGCTGGAGCAGAGTCATCTTGTCCACTGGAATTGGGGAGGGGGCGGGAGAGAGCAAGAGGAAAGGCACGGGACTTTGAGGATCATCATGAACTTATGGCTCCACTGACTAGGAGTGAGGTGGGTTCTTAAAGTTCCTCTAGGTTAGTTCTGCATGAAACACATGCTCTGGAAATCAAATACAGATGAATATAAAGTGATTTCTGCCTCATGACTGGAAAAGATAGTGTGAGAAGCTATTTTGGCCCAAAGTAGGTTAGTGAAATAGGAAAGGCGAGGTGAGCAGAGTCACGGTGTGTCTGCTGGTGCTGGGGGTGCCCGAGGAGGGACCATGGTGCTCACCTGTGATGGGGAGGAGGGAATATTTTTAACCATGATACAGATCATGGAGAGGAGGGTTCTGAGGAGGAAGATAATAAGTTTCTGTTTGTGCCTTGTGCAGAAAAGGCAGGGTGGGTGGTGGGGAAGAGTCTAAGGCTTTGCAGGGCTGGGGTGGGGTGGGCTTGAGGGTGGAGAGAGGAGGAGGCAGAGGGATCTGCACAGTTGGTGAGAGGGGGAGTTGGTGCCTAAAAAGGCAATACCCTTTGCGGCTTCATACTGATTCCTCTGATGGAGTTTCTCACCCTTAGCACTATGGGCATGCTGGGCCAGTTCATTCCTGTTGTAGGGGGCTTCTTAGGCATTGAAGGATGTTTAGCAACATTCCTGGCCTCTCCCTACTGGGTGCCAGCACCAGACCTCCAGTTAGGATAACCAAAAATGTCTCCAGATACTGTGCAGTGTTGCCTGCTGGCAAAGCTGCTCCCAGTTCAGAACCCCTGTTCTAACGTTTTTCTTCAGATCACTTCAGAATTGGTGAGTGGGCCTTTGAACTGCCTTTTTCAGCAAAAGCACTGGCTCTCAGTTTGAAGTCCTGGCTCCAGCCCTTCCCTGGTTGATGACTTTGTGTGGCTTTCTTCTCTTCTCTCAGTTTCTATTTTGTCGTATTTTTAAAGTCTGCCGTTTGTTCAACCTGTTTTTGAGAGGATGAAATGAAAGATTCCATGTAAAGCACCGGGCCTAGATAGAGAACCCAGTCAGCATTCAATCATTACTTGCCACTATTAGTAATAATAGTCACCAGGCCCTGGTGAGACATCTAGCTGACATTCAGTGATTTGGGCCTGAACATACGGGCATCACAGGCATGTCGTAGACAAGTAGGTGCTCTTAAAGTGGTGGCCTTCTACCTGTAGCCTGTGGAGGGAACAAAAAGAAAGAAGTGGAGTTTATGAAAGAACTTTGGGGAACAGGTACATTTTCCAAGCAGGTGGAGACAGAGGTGTCTGCCATGTAGATCTGGGTGGTCTGAAAAGGGATGAGGAACCAAGTGTGAGTTTTTCATCCAGCCAATGTTAAGTAGCATCCTTGATCTTTGGGCAGTGCAGGAACAGTGTCAACTGAGTGTTGTCTGTAAGACAGTGACCGTGCTGATGCTGTCATTGACTGCTTACCTGGAGTCCTTGCAGGTGCTCATGCTCATTTACCGCTCAAAACATTGTGAGCCATGGCTTACAGGCCACTTATCATGGCCATTCTACAG